TAATCATTTTAAACCTCTTTGGCAAGTTCCATATTTATAGCAGGTTTGGTAATACAAGAATGATCTCTTAAGCTCATTTCAAGCATGCAAACTATATGCCCAAATGAATCTGGTATGAGTTTGGGATTTAACCTGTCTTTGAAGCGTGTCTCTAACTAGAGTACTCTTACAGAACACATGGGCAAATGGATAAATGGTGGTGTCAGAATGCATCATTCATTGTCATTTTCTAAACAGCAGGTATCAGAAGAGGGAAGTAAAGTACTCTTAAAGAAAGGCTTTACAAAAGATGCTATCTTCATTTCACCATTTGTTCTGTGAGAAATTCGTTTCTACAATTCATTCAGACATGCCTCTAAGATGACATTTCATGCTATTGGGATATTTCTATTTCAGCCTTCTCTGCTAGTAATGATTTATGACAATGTTCACTGATATTTTAATTCATTTGGTGAGATGATCAAATGAGCACACATTTTTCAGAATTGCTTTATTACTGAAATGACATTGGATGAATCTTTGCAAGATCAGTTTAGGATTCACTACTGATTTTTTTTCATCAGATATCACACCATTTGCAAATAAACTATTGCTTTTTGTTTTTTTATTTTTTTAAAAAAATTATACAAAGGAAAACTACAACACTTTGAACAGTTTGTTTCTCTTCAATGGGGAAATGAAATAGTTTCAAGTGGGAATTACCCTTTACTATCTATTATACATTTTATACACTCCAGAACTGACTCATAGTTTATCATGTAGGACTTGGAAATGAAAGCAAATAGCATATTTCTACTTAGAAGCATCCAGAAAGCATCTTATAGATAATTTTTCATTTGAAAAGGTTAAATCAAGCATCTTAATTTAAAATGCACAGGAAACTGTAAATGAATTTTCACATAATACATGTTTTATGTGTTCTTACAATTTAAAACAACGGATTGGATATGAAAAAGCTTGACATGATTAAGAAAACAGTATTAGATCTACTGCCACAATGTATCCCTATAGTTAATAGAAAATGGGATGTGATATTAAAATATATACATACAAGATGGCCTTATTATATCAAGCAATGAAATTAAACTATATAGAAATTTGTTGCCCACATTTGATGTATAATAAGTATCTATGAATGTGTGATCTCACATTTCAAATGTTTGGGAATTGTATTTTATTATTGTGAAAATACTATACAGAGTGGTTACAATTACATGGACAAGGTAATGAGTACATTTCTTATCAAGCATTGTTGCCTCCTCCTTTGTTTTCCCTTCCCATCCCTTCCTATCATCTCCCACCCCACACCCACCCTCGACCCCCTTCCCCAGCCAAAGTTGTAAAGTTCAATAACGACTTGTACATCTCATTGTTGCAATGGGTTCACCTGTATCCCTCCCTATTTAAACGGTTTGTTTTTGCCCTTCTCCTCCACAAATTATACCAACATCAAATACAGTGAATGCAGGGGTTATACCAACATCAAATACAGTGAATGCAGGGGTTATACCATGGGGGAGGGACATACAAAGCAACAAAGAAATCATCTTATAAATATGATAGAAACAATCGCATGAAAGAAAAAAACATTTGAATACTTATCTTGGGGTTCATTTCACCTAACATCAACTTATCTGACTGTTTCTGTTTGTCTCAGACATATACTAGTTATTGCAAAAAGGGAAACCATGGGACCTATGTTTCTTTGGGCTTGGCTTACTTCACTTAATATATTTTGTTCCAAGTCTTTCCATTTCCTAACAAATGGGGCATTTTCATTCTTTCTGATGGAGGCAGAGAATTCCATTGTGTATATATACCACATTTTCTTGATCCATTCATCTACTGAGGGGCATTTGGGTTGGTTCCATATCTTAACTATGGTAAATCATGCTGCAATAAACATAGTTGTGCTGGTAGCTTTAGTATGGTCTTGTTTGTAGTAAATGTCTGAGATAAGCACAGAAGGTCAGATAAGATGATGTTAGGCAAAATGAACCCCAAGATAAGGGCACAAGTGGTTTTTACTTTCTTGCTATTGCTTCTAATATATTTATACGGTGATTGTTTTATTACGTTGTATGTCTCCCCCCCCACACACACAGTATAACCCCTGTTTCCACTGTATTTGATGTTGGTGAAATTTGGGTAGGGGAAGGGAAAACACCAAATTGTTTAAATAGGGATATAGGTGGACCCATTGCAACAATGAGATGTAAAATGCTATGTTGAAAAACAAACTTCAGAGTTCTTGATTATAGACATTCTAACTGGGGTGAGGTGGTATCTCAGTGTTGTTTTGATTTGCATTCCTTTTATGGCTAGAGAGATTGAGCATTTCTTCATGTGTCTATTGACCATCCTTCTTTCCTCTTCAGAGAAGTTTCTCTTTAAGTCTTTAGCCCACTTATTTATTGGGCAGTTGTTTCTTTGAGGATTTGTTGTTGGGGGATTTAATTTTTTGAGTTCCAGGTATATTTTAGATATGTGACCCTTGTCCGTTGTAGGGATAGTGAAAATCTTCTCCCAATCTGTGGGCTTTCTATTGCTAGCTTGTCCTTTGCCATGGGATACAGGTGGACCCATTGCAGCAATGAAATATACAAGATGCTATGCTGAAAAACGAACTTTACAACTATGGCAGGGTGGGGGGATGGATGGTAAGGCGAAACAAAGGAGGAAACAAAAATGCTTGATAAGAAATGTACTCATTACCTTGATCATGTAATTGTAACCCCTCTGTACGGTATTTTTACAATAAAATAACTTATTAAAAAATTCTTGTCTTTTGTTCATATGTATCTAAGCAATTGACTATAACGATCATATATGTGACGTCTGTCTCCACCTTGTGGTTATTATAAATATTGCTATGTTCTAATTTTATACTACCAGACACATCCTTAAGAGATTCAGCAGCCATGAAGACTTTTCATTCTGGTGTATGTTCAGGATTTTCCTTTGAAAGGCTGTCATATTACACAAACTTTTAGACATATATAATAGTCAAGCACTAGTTTATTTAGAGAAGCTCTAAGTCAAAATTATTAGTATTTTGTCAAAATGTATCACTGAATATCTAGTAGTTTAAATGAATACTGCAGTAGTAATCAAACATATCTTATTCATAAACTTATCAACTCTGCTTGAAATTCCATAAGATATGATTGAAGTATTAACACTGAACATTTAGGACACTTTTTCCATACTGAGGCTTGAATTCTGGGGGTGTGCACTGTCCTTTAGTTTTTCATTCAAGCTCCACTCCTGGACTTTTGGTAGTTTATTGGTGATAAAAGAATCTCTTAACTTTCCTTCCCAGGCTAGGTTTGAACTGCAATCCTCAGATATCAGCCTCTTGAGTAATAGGATTACAGGCATGAGCTACCAGTGCCCAGCACTAGGACACTGTTGAAGAAGTCCATAAAATAAAGAAAAATGTGTTTGTCTTTTCATTGAAAAACACTCTCTTTTCTTCCCAGGAAAAGTATACATTTTCAGTGATATTTATTAGATCTTAAATCAAAGACTGTATTCTGTAATTTAAAGAGAAACCCCTACTATTATTTTCCAAATACACACTTTTTCTTCTCTTCTTGTCCCATTTGATCTAAGAGATAGGAATATATTCAGGGAGCAAAACACACTTGTCTGTGCTAAGGGTTTCAAGTTTGCACAGGTTTTGTTCCATTTGTAAAGGAAGACAGTCGCAAAAGTTTATATGAGGGGCTGGGAAGGTGGCTCAGTGGTAGAGTGCTTGCCTTGCATGCCTGAGGCCCTGGGTTCGATTCCTCAGCACCCCATAAACAAAAAGAAAAAAACCAGAAGTGGCGCTGTGGCTCAAATGGTAGAGCACTAGCCTTGAGCTGAAGAGCTGAGGGACAGCGCCCAGGCCCAGAGTTCAGGCCCCAAAACCAGATCTCCCCCCATAAAAGGAAATATGATTGATAGAGTACTCCATCAATTTATGAATAACTGAAAGCTGTCTGATTACCTAAATGAAACTATTTACAATGAGTTTATGTAAGAGTTCATAGTTCATTATTCAAGAGCATTTTGTGAATGGCTTGGTTTAATAAAACTCCATATGCTGTTTCATATGGGGCTCAGTACCATGAAGAGTTAAAAAAAAGTCCATGGCTTTAAAAATACTCGGAAAAGCAGCAGGGCACTCTTGTCACTCCACTAGCCACAGGACTCAGGAATCAGTGCAAAATCTTAGTTCCCTGATGACCCAGGTGAGGGCTGCCCATCCTTCTCAGCTCTGCTGGGAAAGGTCTCGAATTAACACCCCTTTAAATGCTCACTTCACCTATTCCAGAAAGCTGAGTGCAATCTAGACAACTGAAAATCTGTGTTTAACACAGACTTCCAGTGGTTGTTCTTGACTTCCTATTGATATGATGACTTGATATTTATATTAGGTACTACTTACTGTTAAAAACTCTGTAAACATGAATAACTTGTCTGGGGAAAACTGGTCTCAAATAATTCTGAGGGTGTTGCTTTCTAAGGTAAATACCTACCACTTCCTCAGATCTTTATCGCACTTATGTTAGCCATCAAAAGGATTCAAATAAAGTTAATATAAACCATATAACTTTATATAGCAATATGGTTTATAAGAGAAAACTGTCTAATCATAGCTATAGTTTTTATCCAGATATCATAAAACTATATTAAATATAAAACACAAAAGGCATAAACATGCTGTATGCTTGCATCGAGGAAGATTTTTGTGTGTGTGAAATAGATTTATGTTCAGGTTACATAATTATCTACTTTAAAATGCAAAAGCTTACTTTCTTAAAATGCTCTTCAGATAAAAAGAATCCTAAAGCAAGGTTGAATCCAGGAGGAGAGTTAGGAAACACATGAAAATTCCACTGGTACCAGGTTCATTGCCAAAGCTGTTCTACCATTCACATATTAAATTTAAAGTGTTAGTGAACAAGCCTCGGATGGCTTTGGGCTGTAATGACACAACAATGAATGCTTACCTTTTTCATTTCCATTTGCATAATTGGGAGGCTTGTTCTTGTCAATGCTGTTGAAGCTCTGACTTCTCCTATTTAGATTAGAGGCTCCTTGGCCCTTGCTGCTGCTGCCTGCAGCCGGCACCCTAGAGGGTCCTGGAAGCCTGAAATAACATGAGAACAATTACATCATTATCTTACATTTCAAAAATAAGGAGAAAGGGATTCTGGGCAGGAAAGAGTAAATGGGAAAACCACAACATAGTATCTTCTAAAATGTACCTAGCAGAAAATGGTAGTTTAACAAATAGCTAAACAAAAAGTCTAGAGATTATCAGAAAACTCTTGCTTCACTTTTCACAAACCGTGGCACCAAAGATTAATGACAGGGAAAGATTAAAGTACAGTGACCTTCCTCTAACCAGATACTTACTCCTCCATTCCAGATGAATAAAACTTGGCCTTAAAAAATATCAAAACAACTACATGTAAAGGAAATCAAAACAATACCATTTAATCATTGTTAGGTTGTCAGCCTATCAGCTAATTGAAGTTATTCTTAAGGTTTTATGCAAGGGATGGGGTGCTGTTTATCTTAGATGGCTGTGTTCTAAGCCTTGTAAGTAAATAATGACTGGGATAAAGTTATCAAACAAATGGTAAATAAAAAATATTGACTGACTGTCTATGATAGTAAAGCTTTCCTAATTAAAACATGGTGCTGAGAATGTCATGTTAATTTGTATTTGACTGTGTTACCTCATGTGAAAACTTTCATTCTGATCATCTAGACTTTCACTGGTGATCTTGCAAGAATGACCACATGATCACATAGCAGATATGACAAGACAGAAGAAAAGGCTTAGAAGAGGAAGACCTAATAGAATGACAATATAAAATTTATTTCTAGTGAGAAAAGTCTTAGCTACTCCATTTGTGAAGAACAAGCCAGGAGGAAAGAGATGATGTAATGTTATTTCATTTGGATTATAGCTTAAATATTACTTTGAGTCCTTTTCCCTTTGTAATTTCAATTATTATTTCATGAGATATGTTTAACTTTTTATTTTATACTACTATTATATAAAGAATATTCATAGCCAACTCAAAACATTGAGAATTACTTTTAAAAAGTAATATTGGCAATCTAGGATCTATTTAAGAAACGACGATTGCCAACCTCTTTGTTGGTATTTGCTGCCCCCAAGTGAGTAACACTGTGTACTACTTTGAAAACTCCTTTTCTCAAAGGAAAACTGACAAAGCAATCCAAAGATCATAAACAGTGCATTAAATTTTTTACAGGTCTCCTCTAATAAACTTTTATGAACAAGTTGTTTGTATCTGTCATATATCAAAATTGCACTATCCATAATTAAATTTGAACTTGTGTTGATAATAACGCATATTATTTCTGCAGATTGTTTAAGAAACCAAACCCTTAGAAAATATAAATGCTTTTACAACAGAAATAAGTATTGTAAAATGGAATGTGCATTAGAAAGATGCAAATGCTCACATTAAAGAAATGTTGATGTCTTAGAACAGATAAGAGCTTCAAAATCTTGACTATATTTTCGAGATTAAATACATGTGGCTAATAAATATTCCCTTCAGCTATTTGGCTAATTAGAGGTTGTGTCATACACAAGATTAGAATTTTTTCCAAATGACTCCAGCATTTAACTTTTACTCAATTGGACCTATAAGGATTTGTAAGTACAGCAAAACAACACAGACACTAGGAATTTACAGTACCAGTGACTGTGATCTGCTGAAAGAACTCAATTAATTAATTGGATCAAATTACCTAATCATAATAAATCTGAGAACAATTCCTGAAGACATAACCATAGACTTAGAAATTTCACTTCAGACTCACATATGCAAACAAATTTTGTCACACAACTTGCCCTGCTTATAATGGAACTCAGTTGTTTCTAGAAAGCAATTAAAATACATTTTAGTCTTTGATGTGCCCCATGAAGCTAAGTGATCTTCAGTTCTCAGAAGAACAAATGAAAACAAATTACAAAAAACAAATTTGCTCTTCTCATTACCCTAATTTGACAGGCAGCCAGAGGCTCCAGGTCATTCATCAAAATAATTAAAAGGGAATTGAGATGAAGAAAACAAGGAAAAGAGAGAGAGAGAGAATATGAGAGAGAATGTGCATCTTTCATGTCCAAGTTTTATAAGGAGTGATAAAGATGCTAAGAATACAGAGCAGGTCACTGTTTCTTATACCTCCTAAGTCATGTTAATTCATTATAACTTTTAATTAAGTACAATTTATAGACTATTTCTCCAGAATCATTTTAACTCTTAAGAAAATTAAGGCAGGGAACCACAGCCAGAGAGAAAGGCAACTACCTCTGGTCAAGGCATCAGAAGCAGTCTTTGTGGCCAAGCAGTGCACATTATGGCTCATTAATGGAGTCATGACTAATACAGCACCATCGGATAGCTCCCCAATGAGCTATCCGATGAGCCAAAGAATCGCACAATAACTGGAGATGCATTTTTGCTGTGACTTTACTCACTTCTTGTCTACCATCATCCTTCATCAATTTAATTTTCCCAAAACATTTTATATACTATTATTCTCCAAACAGTATATGCTGACATGTGCCTTTTAAATAAACATACCATGAAGAAACAGAAATTTAAACAAGTAAGAGACAGAAGAATTGTCTAGACTGACCTAGTGTGAACTTCTACACCAAAAATCTGCCAGCGTCTCTCTTTAAACATGCAATTTCAACCCATGTCCACATTAAAAATCATTTATAATCTTTTGGTAAAACTTACACATTCTGTGACCTAGAAATAATCATAGGAGTTTCAAGCAATTTCCCCCCCCCTGAATTTCTCTCAACATAGGGAGTAGAATTTATCACAGTATAGCACTACATAAAACTAAATGGAAATAGAAGAAGGCAAACCTAATTAATCACCTAACACACACAGACTTGTCCCTGAGTCTCTGGAGGGAAATCCACTTAGAATTCAGTGCTCTAAAGTTAGCATTCAGGAATGTGTTGGATTTTAAGAAAATTTAGAGGGATACGAAAAAAAGTATCAATGGGCATTTACTTGAATATCACTAATAAGCAATAAATTAGAGATATTCACTGACCTAGTAGGCTTTTTTTGACTGGTTGCAATTCCACTGTGATTAGACTGAGTTGCATATCTGGCTGTCAGACTGTATGAGGAGAAACAGAGAAATTGAATTAAAGAGATTCTTTAAATATGGAAAGAAAGTACAAACTTACATGAAAACTATGAATCAATGAAATGCAATTGGAACACAGGAAAACATGGAGAAAGAACAAATTAATCAGAAAATTAGGATGACATCACATAAACACCATGACCTCTGATTATGAATGTATTATGAAATAATGCTGCACACCTCTACATGTCTGTATTAACCTAAAATGATCGCTATGTGATATTAGTATTTTAATAATATTAGTCAACTTTGGTAGAAACTTTAACCTTTGTAACTGGAGACTTTAGGGAATCAATAAGAAGTAAGAAATTCATGTTCTGAGACACATAGCTAGATCAAGAGACGCAGTGACGTTCACATATTTCTTGTGGTGTGAGTGGAGATTCCCTTCTCATGTGAATTGTGAGGACTTACATAAACCCGCTGGCAGTGAATGCCTAGTATGGAAAGCCTGGAGACGTACTGGCTTCAAGCAGGAACAGTCACATGCAACTATGATACAATTGTTCCATTTGCTTTGTTGACTAGCAGAGGGTATTTCAGCCAAGGGGAAGATAGCTTAGGATAATGATATGTTCTATAAATAATTTTTACTCCACCAAGAGGACTGGTGGGAACATGTAGATCCTTACAACTCTTTGGTTTCAGGAAAACACATTCTCATGGAAGATTTATGGTTCATAGAGAATGTATCTTCTACATGTATTATTATGTCATTCTTTACATATAAATTATTCTTTAATTTTAACTACATTGCGCACCAGCTCAACTGGTCACAAGTATGCCAACCACCTCAGTAACAATAACAGAAAGTAGGTGCATAAATATATGTGTGTGTGTGTGTGTGTGTGTGTGTGTATGCATATATGCTGTCTCAGCACAACAAAATATTACTTTAAAATTAAATTAAAAATAAATGCACCCAATTTTTCCACACTTCCAAAATAAGAAAAAAAAATCTATTGTAAACTTTCTCAGTTAATTTGTCGATCTCAAGATTTACGGAAACAACCCAAAGTTTTAATCTGTGCTATATGCTCTAATCTTGAACGTAAAAACAAGATGATAACGAAACCACATACTTTCAGCTAATTGAAACCACTTATTTATTTTCTTTTGTTATTTTTTAAAGAAATGCAATATTTCTAGCAACTGGGGAAAAAAGCAATGATAAAGTTCCAGGATATTGTAGAATTTAATTAAAAACAACTAGTTTTATGGGCAACGTGTGTTTTCTGATGTGTTGTGAAAGAATACTCTAGTTGCTATGGATGGACTTTGTTCTAAGTCCTCTCACTTCAATTCTTTGACCAGTAGCTGGTTCCTTGCTTCCCTTGGCAGCAGCTGTTTGCTTGGAAAACATCAAAGTTTTGTTCAGTTTGCACTGTTTTCTAATATCTTTAACTATGTTCATTTTTTTGGATCTGTCTTGTTCCAAAATTGTCCACCAAACCCACCCAAATTGCCCACCACCATTCTTTATTTTCTTAATTTCTTTCTTAAGACTTCTTTCCCCCCACATTTAAAGGTAAGATTTTATGCCACTTTGGCTCTGTTCCTCTACCAATGTTATGCTTCCCAACACATGTTAATTTATTTTCTACTGATACTTCAATTAAAATTCTATCTTCCAGAATTAACTTCTTCTTTAATGTGACCAGTTAATAATCTTTGAACTGGACACACAAAGTTCATCATTTGCCTTCTTTTATTCCCTTATAAACCCTTTCAGAGGGTCATGGTAGTTTTTGTCATGCCCGTTTCAAACCACAGAACTGACTTGCACTTTTCCCCTCTCCATTGTTACAGATAAGCTATCAGTATCTACTCATGCTGTTTGCACTTCTACAAATATGTCTACATCTATGTTTTCTTTCCATTCCTGTGCTTACGTACTAATTCCATCTTTCAGCACTTCCAATAGCATCTCTAGCTATAAGAACTAAAAATGCTTTTGATTATTTGATTACTTTTCCTAAATGAACAATTTGGACCAGAAAGGACCACAAAAAAGTATCTAGGCTTTCCTCTTGGATCTGTAGGCAAAGAAAGAAATTTTAAAAGATGAGATTTTCCTTGAAACATGCATAGTAGTAGATTCAATGTAAAGTTTAAAAATCAAAGATCTAGCCGGGTGCCAGTGGCTCATTCCTATAATCCTAGCTACTCAGGAGGCTGACATCTGAGGATTGCGGTTCAAAGCCAGCCCGGGTAGGAAAGTCCATGAAATTCTTATTTCCAATAAACCACCAGAAAACCAGAAGTGGTGCTGTAGTTCAAGTGGTAGAGCGCTCGCCTTGAGCTGAAGAGCTGAGGGACAGCGCTCAGGCCCAGAGTTCAAGCCCCATGACCGACAAAAAAAAAAAATTAAAAAAAATCAAAGATCTTACATTTGTACCTTCAAGTTCAAGTACCTCTAGTACTTAAAATTTCTTAGGCAATATACCAGGTTTGATGTAGGATTTATTAACAATTGTCTAAAAATGATTACTTCAGCCTTAAAATAACTATCTACCTACAGTTCACAGACATTGTAAATCCTCCATATATTCTTTTCTCTCATTTTTTTCAACCATTCTCTTACATGGTTAAAATGTCCACCTATTTAGCATAACTCTTTTGACTGACTCAGAATCTTTGTTTTCAATAGCTCCCTCCCCTTTTCTTACCATTTTTTTCTTTACCACTATATCTAGATTTTTGAAAAATATTTTCCCCATGTGCTTGTAACATAATTTCCCAAGTTCTACATTTAGAATAAGTTAGTAACAAGTCAGGGACAGAGTGAACAAGAACCTGAAGTTTATTAGTAAACCGACACAAAGGAACTTGTAGACACAACTCTGAGGCAAGTTGGGTAAATAAACCAAATAGGAATTATGATCATATTGAGTCTATAGACACCTGAGTTGAAGATTGTATGCTGTTTTTAATCCTGAAATATTGTCAAATGAGACTTAAATAATGGATAGGGGAGAAAATAACAGAACCAAACCTCTGAAGATCCTGTTATGAGACTCTCAAAACTGTGAGCTTAACTAAAGGGAATAATGATCACCTCTCTGAGAAATAAGATGGTCAAGGGAGTTTTTGGGGGGTGGGGACCTTTCCAGAACATGGAAGGGAAGAAGATAAAACTATATGCAGTCTTTTTTTGTGTTGTTTTCAATTTAACTATGGAGCACATTTGGTATTCAAAACAAAGTAGGATCCAAGCACCAGAACTTCCTCTCCCAACTGGTCAAATAATCTTCCTTGTTTCTGTCTTTTCTATTTACCTTTACTCTTGGAGAATACTGTTTGTAAGAATGAAAGTCCCTCTACTGGGGAGTTAGATATTTCTTACTTTTTATACGCAAAGAAATGGAAAAATCACAGTCTGGTTTGGTAGTTCATGTCTCTAATGCATGCTACTCAGAAGGCAGAGAAAGGAGGATCACAGTTTTATGCAGCCAAAGTAGAATTAGTACAAGGATCTACTGGAAAAACTAACAAGGGGTAAAATAACTGCATGAGGCTCTAATATCAACCCTCTTATCTGCCCTTCCCCCTCAAAAACAGAAAGGAGGAAAACACTAAAACAAAATTATACTTCATTATAGCATCCTATTTAACAAAAGAAAGGGTACAAAGAAATAAATTAGAAAATATAAAGCGGTTCATGATGCTTCACACCCCAAGTTTATTTCCAAATTTTATATATTATAAAATAATATGTTAAAAAGGCAAGAATTATACTCAAATTTATTATTAAAGTCTTGAAAGAAATACAAGAACAAAATATTTAATAAATTAAATGAAATATTGCATACATAAATATATGTAACATATTACTTTATATTTACTAATATATGTACACATGTGTATATATGTGTATACATATATTATATGTTCGATATATATATATATATATATATGTAGTACTCAGGGCTTAATGCTTGATAGGCTGCTAAAATATCACAGAATCTCACTCTGACTACTTTTTTGTCCCCACTGGCAGCAAAGGCACAGGCCACAATATCCACATTGCTTTCTGTGGGAATGGAGTTTCTCTCAGTGCAAGAGTACCAGTATCTCAGCCTTCCAAATAGCTTGTTTTGACAAGTACTTACCAGTGTGCCAAACTGTGGGTTGAGGAAGGGTCTTGGGAGCTTTTCCGCCCAAGACTCTCAAACCAAGACTCTCCTCTCTTCAGTTTATGATATACTTTTAAAAGACTTACGTTAAGGATTTTTGTACAAAAGTCCAAATGTAAGTACAGAATAGTTATTAAAGATTTTAAAGACTGAGATATACCAAAATACATCTTTATACTGTATGTATTATACTTGCTTAGGGCAGAAATCAATTATATATTCAAAATTAAGATTTACTGATTTCCTTAAGCTAGATTCTTTCTGAATTGTAAGGATTTTTTTTTCCTCCTGATGGAGATTTGAGAACTGCTATAAAATATTATCACAAGTGAATAATTCTAAGAGACAAGAAGTGTTTAAGCATTTCAGCCAACCTATCTTCTTATTGTATTTCCAGGCCACTTGTGCTCCTTTAAAAAGGACTTGTTTTGCAACTATATACACTTGAGAGTGTGTCACAAAATATATTGTCCTTATATTTCTGTTTTATAAAAAATTTCACAAATTGGTTATTGACTAATCCATATATGACTTAAAAATTTAGCTTTCTCCCCCATGTGTTTTCATTTTTAGTTGCTGAGTGGCTGAAATATCATCCCGATTGCATTTTAGAGAGGTTACTGTGATAATGTAGCTTATTAGTGAAATTCCATATGAAATATATTATAATTTGTCTTATCTTAAATTGTTAAGACAGTTAATAAGACCACCTTCATGGTCTGTATTTGTGAGATATTAAACTAGTAACCAGAGAAGGAGATGCCTGTTTAAGATATTCCACCATCAAAGCCTTGTTTTAAAGGAATGCCAAGCTTCAAGATAAGAAAGAGCTCA